TCCGTTTGCCTGTTCCTTAAGCCTCATGACAAGCTATACTATGGTATGCATCATTGATGACACCACAACTGTTTCTTTGGAGCTTTTTTACAATAATACTCCAACTGCGAGTGTTAGCAACTGTTGTGGATTTCACTACACATCTCACCAAGACTTAACTTTTTGTACCCTCAACTATTTGAGAGTACTTATTCTTTCTTACTCAGCATGAGGCCTATTATACTTTGCAAAATTGCAAGACATTCTCAACTCAATTCCAGTGATCTATATCTGAACTGGACTTTTGCCAAAATATCTCAGATACATAAACTACGTCAGGGTAAGTTCTTACTTGTACTTGTACACACATCAAGCTTCCAACAGTTGAAGCATATGGAACCATATTCTTTTGATCAATCTCATATCGGTTCCTGGAACACTTAAAGTTCCCAAAACTATTACCCTTGACTATAGGAGCAGGCGTAGGTTTACTCGCATGCATACTTTATTTCTTTAGAATCTTTTCTAAGTATGCCTTTGCGATAGTCCTAATACTCCTTTTCATCTATCTCGGTGAATTTCGATTCCTAAAACCAATGACGCTTCATTAAGACCATTCACATTGAAACTTGAGGACAAAACTATTTTTTCTCCAATGACAGACTGACATCACTACTAGTGAGTAGAGTGTCATCTATTCATAGGATGTGGAAAATGAATTTTCCATTCTTGAACTTCGCATAAACGCTATTGTCCTTCTCATTTTCTTTAAAACCCAAACTTTCTTATCGTTTCATCAACTTTAAATACTACTGTCTAGAGACTCACTTTTAACCCATAAATAGATTTCTACAGGCGGCATCCCATATGTTCTTTTCTTCCACGACAAAACCTTTTGGGTTGTTCCATGTAATCGTTTTCATATAAATCCCCGTTGAGAAATGTCGTCTTTACATCCATCTGATATAACTCTAAATCGTAATATGCCATTAACACCATTATGATTCTAAAAGAATCCTTACATAAGACTGGAGAGAAAACTCTCATTGTAATCTATTCTTCTCTTTGCTTAAAGCATATTACCACAAGTCATACTTTATATCTTTCTATATTCTCTTTGGAGTCATATTTTGTCTTGTAGACCCATTAATAGCCTACTATTTTGGCTCCATTAGGAATTGCTTCTAAGTCCCAAACATCGTTGGTACTCATCGAATTCATTTCAACTTTCATAGCTTCTTGCCATTTAAACAAGTAAACGCTTCTCATGGCTTCTTCAAATAAGGTGGGATCACCCTCTATTTAAATTTCTTTACTAACATATACTTCATAATCATTGGAAAAACTGGTTTACTAATTCTTTGAGACCTTCTAGGGCCTCAGCTACTGGCACTTTCATATGGGGCTGTTGTTGCTCTTCATTGCCAAGAGGCAATTGATTCTACAGGCTCCTGTATCACAAGATCCTTGTTTACACTATTCATCTTCTTCGAAGAGCCAACAATAGGTGTTGTATTAGTCATACAACATCAACAGGTATTAAGAAACTTGTTGCTCCTGAGTCACTAGGGTGGGCACGCAGTCCCTCTTCTCTTCAAGTCTTAGGTCTCTACATACCATGCTCCCCCTGATCTTCTCATCTTTTCTAAAGATAGTATATCTTCAAATTTCTTATTTTGGGTTTAATCCGTTAAAACCTCATATGGCGCTTTAAGCACTACCTTAACATCTTTGAGACTGACTACGCTATTTTCCTGTCGGAACTTTTAAAAGGTCTAGGAATTTAGTTATTTCTCTGCTTAGGGGTATCAACGTTGTGACAGTTGTACTCCTCCAATGGTCGTATTCATCTTAATTAATATTTATCCTACTCTTAATGAAGAGTATCTTCCTTAATTGATCTTTATATTTTTCTCCCCCTCGAAATATGGCATGAACTTTACTGCCATAATTTCGATAACTATACAGAAAGCCTGTAAACGAGGAGACACTTATAACTTGCTTCATTCACATGATTGTGTCATGTAAACAAAGTTATTTCTTGATCCATTTAGGTGTACACTTTCCTTAATTCACTTTAAGAACTCAACGAGGTCTTTCATTAGCGATACTTTTACAAGTCACACTTGCATCTTTTCTTATCTTTTGGTTAGTATTGACCATGACTATGCATTTCTATTGTACCACGGTCAATACTAGGACAGCATAAGAGCTACCCAAACTTCTCTCGCTATGCGGGATACAAAACATGTGAATCATCACAAAACTTCTCCCGCCATGCTGGATGGACTAGCATAATTACTATGCCAAAACTTCTCCCCATGCGGGATACATCTATACGAAAACTTAGTCATGATGACTAAAACATTCACTTATACTTTATTTTCCAATTAAATCTTTCCGTTGGTTTCAATTTAATCAGAAAATTAGTAAACTAATAAAAACTGTCTTGAATTGGCTTGACTCAAGCCTTTTCATTGATATACCCCAGCATTGCAGCCCGTTGGCATGCAGCCGGGTGATATCGTCGAATTAAAACATACAAGGTGCTTCTGCATCAATTCTACATCATCATTGGGCAGAAAATAGAATTAATGCATAAAACTCATAAATCAACTTGAAATTCATATAACTGCTCTTCAAAATTAAATTCTCCTGTTGCTTTAAATTTAATTAGAAGATAATCAACTTCATTGTAGCGAAAACTAAATGAAATACATTCTTTTAGTTCAGGAGCATTTCTTGGTCCTTATCTACTCTCTAGAAAATTCACCACGTTGGTGTAAAATTTACTAGAGATTTAAACTTCAAACCTAAATTCGTTATAATATTGTCATCATCAACGTTGGTCAGAAAATAACAATACCATAATCTTACATAAACAAAAACGGACTACTCCTCTAATTAAAATTTTCCATTGGTTCCAATTTAATTAGAGGATCAACATAATCGTAATTCACTAAATATAACTACTCTTCAAATTAAATTCTCCAGTTAATTCGAATTTAATTGGAAGATAAAAAACATTAAACTTTGCAGCGGAAACTTAAACTTAATTTGTGAATATTACCCATAGGGAAATTCTCTTTACCAATTTTCTTTGAGCCATTAATCATTTTTCAGGAAATAACGCTTTCCTGGAAAAAGAAAAGGAAAAATGGACTCAAATCAATATTGTTCCTTCGGCCCGACCAAGAAAGCGGCCCGGCCTGCCTTGCGCGCGCGCGTGCGGCTCCCACCCAGGCCGCCACCTGGGCCTAGGCTAGGAAAGCGGCTCGCCCGCTCGTGCTCGCTAGGGCCGGCCTCCGGCTCGTTGCTTCTGCACTGTCGATGCAGATCGGATGGCCGAGCACGCGCTTCGAAGGATCAAAACCACGATGCGGTGGCCAGCACCCAAAACCCTAGCCATTTGTTCTCTCGCCCTCTCTCTCTTGCGCGCGCAGCAGCTCTCAGCGCAACGAGCGGCAGCGGCGACCGAGCGAGCATGGCGCCGTTGTCGGCCCTCTTGTTGGCGCGCGCACTCCCCACACGGGTGAGCGCGCCACCGTCGAGCGGACTAGCGGCGGCACCCTTGGTCGGAGCTCGTGCAAGCCTGAGGAGCGGCGGCGGCTCGGCTTCTCCCCGCTCGCCGATGAGGCGGCGGCGGAGCTCCTTCCCACGTGCCGGTAGGAGACAACCCATGCGACGGCGGTGGTGATGCACGGCAGAAGAGTCTGGTAGGTCCTCCTCTCCTTCGTCCGATCTGTTTCTTGGGTGAGGGTTTTCTAAGGTTAGGGTTAGGGTTAGGGTTCGGCTTTGAGATCCTTTCCAAAAACCGACACCCTTTCTCTTCTCTGTGCTTCACCCGATTAGGGTTAGGGTTCCGTTAGGTAAGCCATCGTCCTCGCTCTTCCCCTTTCCCTTTTCCCTCTTCTATCTTTGAATCTTGTTGTGTTCTTCTTAGTTCTTTGCCGATTGGGGATTAGGGTTAGGGTTAGGTTCAAACTTTCTGCCTCTTTGCTCCTTCCCCTTCCCCTTCGGCTGGTTAGGGTTAGGACAAGCCCACTGTTCATCTTCCCCGCCTTTCGAGCCTGCATGTCAGCGTCTCGTCGGCGAGCAGCGGCTTGACTACCCGCGCGGTGTCGGAACTTTCTTTTCACGCAGCAGTGGTGCGACGGCGGTGGAGAAGCGCTAGTAGGTCCTCCCCTTTCCGTCCTTGGTTTTCTAGGGTTAGGGTTCGGTTAACCTTTCTGCCTCAATCCAAATTGGATCTCTCTCAACTTTCTAAACTGCTACTACCCTGATCTAGATCTACTCACTAGAAAAACCTTGGCTCTGGTACCATTGTTAGGTTCACAGTACACCTAAAACATAGATCAGGAGATAAATTCTTACTTAGATGGGGAAATTATTTCTGTACCTTGCCCTCGCCCTAGTACAGTTGGGTCCATGGCGAGTAGCAACGTGGACGCCGGTGTCATGGCAACGTAGGCGCGGTGATGGCACTGCAGAGGCAACGGTGAGGTTGGTGGCGGCTTCCCGTTGCTGGCATCACCGTCTCTTGATCAATTAGCGTTTTTCTGTGGGTGGGTTACGGCGGCTCAGGTCAACCTCATAGATAGAGCCCCGGCCCCACCTCCCTTTATATTGCTGTGCGACGGGGGGCCACCAACCATGGAGTGGTTGGGCGCCTCCGATTAGGACGCTGATCCAAGGGCCTAATTGGCCGTTGGGCCAATTAGTGGAGATCAAACTAACACAAAGGACGAACTCTGGCACTTTGTGGGCATGCATGGCGCTCGCTGGCTTGTGTACGTGTGCTAATCGCCGGCGGCTTGCACCTCCATGTCTCCACTTATCTTTCGCCTACGATGGCATGCAGAGTACAACCGGTTGACTATTAGCAAATCTGTATTAATTAAGCCGGGTGTTGACAACAGAGTAACGATGGTGATGGTTGATGATGCGCGTGAAGAAGGTCGAACTGGAGTCTGGAGGACGTCCGCTTGATCAGTTGTCGCTATCGAGAGAAAGAGAGTGCATCAACCATCATATCCATACCTGAACTTCTTGAGGAGGTCGAGGCCGCGGTAGAGTGCGAGGAAGGCGTCGCGGATGTTCATTTGGGCGTGCTGGACCTTCTTGCGGTGGACAAAGGCGGCGGCGGGGTCGGCTCGTTCCGTCCTTGCGGAGCACGTTGACGAGTTCCTCCCACAGTCCGACACCTTGAACGCCGCCCGGCCGGGGCTGGTGGGCGGAATGTCGATGCGCACCATCGCCGGCTGACCGGCCACCAGTGAATGCCGAGGCCACGCGCATTCTGCCTTGGCCCTCCACCTTCGCCCAAACAAGACGCGAGCAGCGCCGACGATAGAGCGGACGAACACCGCACGCCGCCGGACGCTCGAAACCCCAAAGACGCGCCCCCATGCTGCGCCTTCGAGCGGATGTGGCCGCGGCAGTTAGTGGCTTCTCGTCTGTATACCTAGGAAGAAAAAAGGGAGGCGTCCGTTCGCCGTCGGTCGATCGAAACCCCCGAGCTGCGCCCCCACGCTGCACCTCCAAGCGGTCCCGCAGCCGCGCCCCCCACGCTGTGCCTCCGAGCGGATGTGGCTGCGGTGGTTAGTGAACACGGGTACAGGCAGCAGGTACGTTTGTCCTGCATAAAAAAACCAAAGCGGATGTAGAGATTGGTCGCCGACCACAAGGAAGCGTCTTTCGTCCCGCTTGTCAGGTCTATATCAAGCGTTGGATAGAAAATCGAGACAAATATGAGGGTGGAGATTGTAGGTGGGTAGAGGACTTTTATGTAACATATACTCAATCCATTCCAAATTATAAGACATTTGACTCTTTTTTGACACCAAATTTGACCACTCGTCTTATTCAAAAATTTATGCAAAATATCACTACTTTTTGTCGTGGCTTGGTTTATTAATAAAAGTTATTCAAGAATGACTTAAATTTGACTATGTTTGCACAAATTTTTTGAATAAGACGAGTGGTCAAACTTAGGGTCAAAAAATTCAAACGTCTTATAATTTGGGATGCAGGGAGTATTTTATAATTTCGCTCCTTTATAGTAATAAATAACTTTTACTTGATATATTTTGATTACAAAATTATTTTGTATGTAACTTTATACACTTGATTTTGCATGTGTTAGGATTTGCATGTGTACCAACAAACTCCTTAGGTAGGGGCCAAAATTGTACCAACTGCATATATAGCACGAAAAGTCTAGTAAAGTGAACCTCGTCGGTCTCTCTTGGTATCCTTTCCTCCATGTATTTGAATGTGATGGCTATATCACCCTTTTGTTTATAAACATTAAACAATATAGGGTCCGCACACTAAGCCAAATTTGCACATCACTGCCGGCCTCATCACTGTCGGATTTGTGAGAACTGGCAGTGATGTACTTTCACTGCCGGTTATGAGCTTAAAAATGAAAAAATGATTGGGGCTGGGCTAAAACCAGCAGTGAAGGACCACATCACTGCCGGTTTGTGGCTTGAACCGGCAGTGTTTTGGCGGGCACTCATCACTACCGGTTTAAGCCAAGAGCCAACAGTGATTGGGCTCTATCACTATCGGTTCTAGCTAAGAACCGATGGTGATAAGCCTACAAAAAGGCTGCAGCCGTCCTCTCCTTCCTCCTCTCTTCCATCCCGAGAACAGAGGCGCGCGTTTGGGCCCTTCCCTCCATTGTTGCGGTTGCTCTTCACCATGAAGCTAGCGCTTGGATTTTGAAGAATGGCTTGATCTTTTTGCTTTAAGGTTAGTAACAAACATCCACTCCTTTGATTTTGTTGTTTAATTAGTTTCGTTTTAATGGCTACATTGCTTGATTCTCATTCTAGTTCTTTCTCCATTCTAGAGAGCACTTTTTCAATTAGACATTTGTGCAAGGCTCTAATTATGGTGAATCCATCATCCAAACTGTTGGTGTCTATGAACACATTTAAATTCCTAGCTAATTATTCCATGGTGGTCAAGATCATCATTGTTAGTATGTGATGCTATAATTAGTTCTTAGAAGTAGAGTAGAATAGTTGTTCTTCAATATTGTGCAATAATTGTTTTTACTACGATTTCCAATTTACAAGGCCGGGGCTACCAATTTCAATTTTTCAATAATTAGTGTACAATAATGTTTTCAAAAAATGATACTTTCGAGCTACAATTGTTGTTCATGAAGCTCGATTTCTTATTAATTCTTTGTAATTACTGTCTCAGTATTTTTTTTGTGCAGAGATGGATCGAGAGTGGATGCATCTGTCCCGAACGGACAAGCGATACATGCAAGGCGTCAGCCAGTTTATCACCGATGCCAAAGCCCATGCTGGGAATGGGAACCCTGTCTTCTGCCCATGCAAAGATTGCAAGAATCATAGGAACATTTGTCAAATTGAGTCTATACGATCGCACTTGATTACCAAGGGGTTTATGCCAAACTATACGATATGGACTATGCATGGCGAGGTTGGTGTGAATGTTCTGTAGGAAAACAATGATGATGTGGACATGCCTGATGTAGCCATCCACGATGCTGACGATAAACCCGGTGTCAATACGGAACCTATGGCCACAGTTAATAATGTGTTTAGAAACATGCTAGCTGACGACACCGAGGATAACGATGGCATTTCTCAGTTGCTACATAATGTAGAGACCAGATGTCTTAGTGAAAGACAGCTGAGAAAGCTAGAGAAAATGAGACAAGATGGCAAAACACCATTGTATAGGAATTATCCAATGAGCAAACTAGAAGCCGACATCATGTTGTTAGAGTTCAAATCGACAAACGGATTGAGTGATAAAGGCTTCGATCAGTTGTTAGGTATAATAAGGAAAATGCTCTCAGAAAAAAACAAGTTGCCAGAAAAGACATACTTGGCCAAGCAAATGATCTGCCCCATCGGCCTCGAGGCTAAAAAAATCCACGCGTGTTCCAATGATTGCATATTGTACCGTCGAGAAAAATACGAAGACTTGGACAAGTGCCCCAAGTGTGAAGCTCCACGGTACAAGGAAGGGTTGTTAGATGAGGGTACCAAGACCAGAGGAGGTCCCGTAAAGGTCGTTTGGTATTTCCCTATAGCTCCCAGGGTGCATATGCTATTTGCATGTGCAAAGTCAGCCAAGCTGTTGCGCTGGCATGGCGAAGAGCGTAAGAAAGATACAATGATGAGGCACCCCGCCGATGGGCATGACTGGAGGACTGTTAATACTATGTTCTATAAGGACATCGGTGGAGAGGTAAGGCACCTTTGGTTTGCTTTGAGCACAGATGGGATGAATCCTTCCGACCAGGTTAGAAGCAATCATAGCACCTGGCCAGTGACGCTCTGTATATACAATCATAGCAATCATAGCGGTCGTACATCCAGATGCCACTACTGATCCAAGGGCCAAGACAGCTTGGGAATGACATTGATGTGTTTCTGGAACCAATGATCGATGAACTAGTGGAGATGTTTGAAAAGGGTGTGCCGGATGTTTGGGACGAGTACAAAAAGGAACATGTCACGATCAAGGGAGTACTTATCGCTACAATCACCGACCTACCAGGTCGAGGTTCGTTGTCCGGAGAGAAGACAAAAGGCTATACTGGATGTGTCGAGTGCTTGGATAACACCGATGCGGTAAATCTGCCAAATAACTCAAAGATAGTTTATATGGGACACCGTAGGTTCCTACCTAAGGATCACCCTTACCGAAGGAACAGAAAACATTTCAATGGTACTATTGAGAAACGCTTAGCTCCAAAATATCGAGACGGGCCTGCGATACTTCGAGAACTCAACAAACTAGAGGTTGTCCTTGGGAAGGGGACAATGCAGTAGCAGGGCCTGATGGGAGTGTTTGGAAGAAAAAATCGGTTTTCTGGAAACTACCTTACTGGTCATTTCGGAGTGTACGCCACTGTCTTGATCCATGCACATCACTAAAAACATGTGCGCTAACACTCTTAACACCTTGATGGACACTGAGGGACATCGAAGGATTCACTAGCCACACGTCTGGACATGCAACACATGGGAATCAGGAAGGAGCTGCATCCTGTGGAGCTAGAGAATGGCCAGTTTGAACTTCCGGTTGCGTCATGGACATTGAAGAAGGAAGAAAAGTGTGCGCTTATTTCTATCTTCAATGAACTCAAGGTCCCGACGGGCTACTGTGTGAACCCGAAGAGGCTAGTGAACATGAGAGAACTCAAGTTCAACTATGGCCCTATGAAGGCCCATGACTGTCATGTCATTATGACTCAGCTGCTCCCTGTTGCCCTGCGTGGTATCCTCCCCCCAAAGGTCCGTGCCCCAATCATAAAGCTTTGCTTGTTCTTCAACGCGATCTCAAAAAAGGTCATTGATGTGTCCACGCTAGAGCAGCTGCAGCGGGATATAGCCAAAACTCTCATTAGGCTTGAGATGCATTTCTCGCCGACTTACTTTGATATCTCATTGCATCTGCTCATTCATCTTGTTGACCAAATTAGAGCCCTTGGCCCAATGTACCTGCATCAGATGTTCCCTTTCGAAAGATTGATGAAAGTTTTTAGGAGGTATGTTAGGAACAGATTCAGGCCAAAAGGGGGCATGGTTGAAGGATGGTCAACGGAGGAGGCCATTGAGTTCTGCACATATTATCTGGACATCAAAAGGGTTGGAGTTCCAGAATCTCATCATGAGAGAAGACTACGTGGCAAAGGAACGGTCGGGGAGAAATCTGTTACAGTAGACGACCTTGTTTCTTTCAGACAGGCATAGTTCGCTGTTCTCCAGCAAGCCGAGGGTGTGATGCCATACATTGACAAGCACAGGCAATCGCAGCAAACTCTGTATCTGAGCAAGTCACAGGCTGGGCTGGATAAAAAACATAAGGAGGAATTTGTCAGCTGGTTGCGACGTCGCTTGCTTGGAATAAAGTTCGGTAATCAACTGGATGCCTTAGCCAAGGGACCTTCGAGTACATATCTTAAGTACCAAGGGTATGAGATCGATGGATTCACATTTTACACAAAAAAACAATATGGAAAGAGCACATACCAAAATTGTGGTGTTCGTTTTGATGCTCACGACGAAAACGGCAACGTGCAGGCGACATACTATGGTTTCATAGAGGAGATATGGGAGCTAGCCTACGGTCCATTGAAGGCAGCTCTTTTTCGCTGCCAGTGGGTCCGGCTCAAGGAAATCAACACTGACAGCGAAGGGTTCACTACCGTTGATCTCACTAAGACCGCATACAGAGACGACTGTTGGTTTTTAAA